ACCCATGTCTCTGTCATCACCAGCTAGTACATCTAATCTCTCAACCCATGTCACAGTCTCTGTCCTCTCTAGCTAGTACAGCTAACCTCCCAACCCATGTCTCTGTCCTCACCAGCTAGTACAGCTAACCTCTCAACCCATGTCTCTGTCCTCACCAGCTAGTACATCTAACCTCTCAACCCATGTCTCTGTATTCACCAGCTAGTACAGCTAACCTCTCAACCCATGTCTCTGTCATCACCAGCTAGTACATCTAATCTCTCAACCCATGTCTCAGTCTCTGTCCTCACCAGCTAGTACATCTAATCTCTCAACCCATGTCACAGTCTCTGTCATCACCAGCTAGTACATCTAATCTCTCAACCCATGTCACAGTCTCTGTCCTCACCAGCTAGTACAGCTAACCTCTGAACCCATTCTTGCAGCCGAGGGATTTTTTTTTACATGTGCAACAATACATACGGGCGTCTGGTACCCAGAGACTTCAAGTCCACGTGAACAATTCCCAACCTTCACTGACGCCATGCCTCGAGCCAGCTTATATGAGGAGGTTTACATGTGACCATTGATCGCTAAACCTCGAGGCAGCTTATATGAGGAGGTTTACATGTGACCATTGATCGCTAAACCTCGAGGCAGCTTATATGAGGAGGTTTACATGTGACCTTTGATCGCTATACCAGACAGTGACCGGCCGCAAGAAAGGAAGCGTAACAAATCACTGAAGCTGCAAGTCGCTAGACAATATCCTAAATCGAATTAAGTTGTTAATTATGCGACTTAATATAGGTAAAAAAAAAGGCAAAGTCGGGAGATGTGAACCAGCGTCATTGCACACGGTTATAAACCATAATTGCTCTGCCCCCAGTACGGACAGCTGATAAGAATTGTCCGCCTGTGTCGCTGTCCGCACGTAACTCTGTAGCTACAGCGACGTTCCTCCATTTACCCCAGAGCGTTAACTCTGGTACCCATTACCTAGAGGCTGGGTGAACCCCGGGAGCCGCCCGGTTTCAAACACTGACCGTGGGCTGCAGCGAGTTGCATTTGGATTGGAAATCGAGTTTCCTATCGACTGCGCTAACGCGGCCCCTGACTTAATGTCGTACTCGAGTCCCGACCTCCGATCAACACCAATGACGATGCTGTCGTTTACAAAGATGAACCTGTAAGAAGCTCTGGTGCTCTTACAGCTCCGGTTGGAGTTAGAAATGTAAAGCAAGGTTCCGGTGCTGTTGCCTTGACCACACATAATCTGATTAGGGAGATCATGGCAGTGACCGAAGCATTAACACAGACCTTCTCCCGCGCATGCTTTCTCAGTGAACCAATCAGTATGCCCAGGAAGATAGAGAAGGGCTGGATCCTAAGACGGTAGCTGGAATCGCTAAAGCGACCCTGGCTGACACGTATCAGTTTCCTATTTGTGCTAGGTGTGTAGGTGTGCAAAAAAATGATTACGCCGATAGGCTTGCCGGTAAAGCGGCGGGCGATTCTTTCACTAGGCAAATATTCTGAATACTCTAGGAAAAGTCACTTTTGCGAGAACCCAGTGATGACTGTGAATCTGCATCCATGACCAGCCTCAAAGTACATGTTAAAATGGATGAGGTCAGACAAGAGCACTACGCAGGAAGCCAAAGAAGAATAAAAAACCAACACAGAACTGGTGTCGTCAGCCGCTAAACTGAATTACTGAGCAGGGGATCAGAGCACGTATGGACTGAATGGTTCGATGTGCAATGAGGATAATCTGTCGACTAACATGCGACAACCAGCTCGCTCAGTCGTATATCTTAATAGTGTCAGTTCATATATGTTAGTACTGTCAGTTCATATATGTTAGTACTGTCAGTTCATATATGTTAATATGTATAAGCTCGAGAAATACAGTGACTTAGCAGCCAGTCTGAGGAGAGACGAAGCGTACACAGTACGAATCTTCGCCGTCGAAGTAGGCGCAAGAGATCTCGTTTCCACTTCACTTTACAATGTGATTAAACAAATAGGCTTACGAGGTAATGAACGCAAACGGACATTCAAACAACTGGGCGAGGTTGCTGAGAGGGCCTAGAGCTGGCTCTGGACACAACGGAACAACGTGGGGGATGGGCCTCGATGAACTGGTCCGGGTGTCTAGTGGAAAAGAGTTTCTCATCCCTTAAGTCCATCGTGTCCGATTGTCTGCAAGTGTCCCTCTGCCACCTGCTAAAAAGTCCAACATGTGTCCGGTAAACCAATCGTAAGCTTGCCACTCGGTCGTTCAGGTATGCAGAATGCTTTAATTATGCTACCGCAACGACTTCTTATCTCACAGTACCTTTTACAAAATCACAAATTCGTCTTGTTCCTGTCCGAATAACATCCGCTAAAACGTGCAGCAGGGAAAACCAACCCTGAGCTTTATGAACTCAGGTTGGCCCAATCTCTGAAAATGTCTAGGAGCTCGTGGGCCGAAATATTTGTCAACGAGAGGTTACTTCTACTGATGATTGGTAGACCCCTGCTGTACATGCTTCCCTGTGGAGTTTCTTCTTATTGTACTGTCAGTTCATATGTCTTAGTACTGTCAGCTCATATATGTTAGTACTGTCAGTTTATATATGTTAGTACTGTCAGTTCATCTTTGTTAGTACTGTCAGTTTATATATGTTAGTACTGTCAGTTTATATATGTTAGTACAATCAGTTTATATATCTTAGTACTGTCAGTTCAAATATGTTAGTACTGTCAATTCATATATGTTAGTACTATCAGTTCCTATATGTTCGTACTGGCAGTTCATATGTGTTAGTACTGGCAGTTCAAATGTGTTAGTACTGTCAGTTCCTATATGTTAGTACTATCAGTTCCTATATGTTAGTACTGTCAGTTCATATATGTTAGTACTATCAGTTCCTATATGTTAGTACTGTCAGTTCATATATGTTAGTACTGTCAGTTCATATATGTTAGTACTGTTAGTTCATATATGTTAGTACTGGCAGTTCATATGTGTTAGTACTGTCAGTTCATATATGTTAGTACTATCAGTTCCTATATGTTAGTACTGTCAGTTCATATATGTTAGTACTGTCAGTTCATATATGTTAGTACTGTCAGTTCATATATCTTCTTCTTCTTCGCGTTCATCAGCTGTACACTCTGGTGGAAAGTTCTGATATATGGTAATACTGTCAGTTCATATATGTTAGTACTGTCAGTACATATTTGTTAGTACTGTCAGTTTATATATGTTAGTACTATCAGTTCCTATATGTTAGTTCTGTCAGTTCATATATGTTAGTAAAGTCAGTTCATATATGTTAGTACTATCAGTTCATATATGTTAGTACTGTCAGTTCATATATGTTAGTACTGTCAGTTTATATATGTTAGTACTGTCAGTTCATATATGTTAGTACTGTCAGTTCATATATGTTAGTACTGTCAGTAGCAGTGACACGACAGCTGCCTGATTCCGGTATGTTAACAGTCAGAATCCTGTAGAACACTGACACCAAGTGACACCCAATCTGACGCCAGACATGTTTAGACAAGGATGTCCAAAACACGGAGCCAGTAACACGGTTGTCTGCCGCTGTGGCAACCCATTTCAGCAATGATTTGGTTTGCGTTCTTCAGAGATGCCCTTTAACCCCGGCATTCATTGTAATCTACTCCGGCCTGGCATGGATCGGTATCAAAAGAGAAGTGTCACGCCCCAATGACCCAGTGAAAGGACCCCAGCATACCTATCCCAACCCATCCCAGGTCAGTGAAAGGACCCCAGCACACTGTGGTGCAGCCGTGTAAGCTAGTCAGACATGTTACAGTTATTTATTAATAATATTGAATAACATGACGGCAAGCGGGCTAAAGTACCTCTGTAGATTCAAGATTTTGGGGTCTGGAGTGGGAGTGGCTTTATGGTAAATATTGAAAGAATATACGCAGCACACGGGGCTGTTTGATGTGTGTCTCTGGAACGAGGAGCTGGGTGTGTATGTGGCAGGCATGGGATCTAGAACATACTAGCTCAACAGGGGTACACTAACAACTTTCAGCTGCTTCATGTCGCTGGCGAAACGGTTACGGAGATGTTTTGATGCAGACACAGACATTGTTGGATAACTGTTGATGTTCGAGAAACAGACATTGCTGGATAACTGTTGATGTTGGACGGAGGCATTGTTGGATAGCTGGTGATGTTGGAGCAAATGCGCTGACCATGAGATTCAGTAACAGGTCAGTCTTTACGTTGTCTCTTCTTGATCTCCACAGCTGCAACCACAAGTTTATCTATCTTGTTGTTTCTCTCTGGTCTCCAACCACAAGTTTATCTATCTTGTTGTTTCTCTCTGTTCTCTAACCACACGTCTATCTATCTTGTTGTTTCTCTCTAGTCTCTAACCACAAGTTTATCTATCTTGTGGTTTCTCTCTGGTCTCCAACCACAAGTTTATCTATCGTGTTGTTTCTCTCTAGTCTCCAACCACAAGTTTATCTATCTTGTTGTTTCTCTCTGGTCTCCAACCACGCGTTTATCTATCTTGTTGTTTCTCTCTGTTCTTCAACCACAAGTTTATCTATCGTGTTGTTTCTCTCTAGTCTCCAACCACAAGTTTATCTATCTTGTTGTTTCTCTCTAGTCTCTAACCACACGTTTATCTTTGGTCTCCAAACACACGTTTATCTATCTTGTTGTTTCTCTTTGGTATCCAACCGCACGCATTATCCGGTAGCCTTATTAAGTGGGGAGAAAATAGACCCACAATCCTCTCACATGAGTGTTGTAATCATCATCATCGTCACCTCCATCATCACCATCACTATCACCTAACACTATCACCTCATACTATCACCTCACACTATCACCTCACACTATCACCTCACACTATCACCTCATACTATCACCTAATACTATTACCTCACACTATCACCTCACACTATCACCTCACACTTTCACCTCACACACGTGAGACCACAGCTGTTCCAGGATCATCGTCTTGAGCCTGTCCATGGTGACCTTGACGTTCGTGGCCCTGTCCTACCAGATCGTGTCACGTGACACACGCAAGTACTCTAGCCTTCCCAGGGAGCTGTTTCACTTCAGGTGAGTCTTATCTTTAGTCATGTCTTATGTTTAGCGAAATCTTATCTTCAGATAAATCTTTTCTTTTATCTTCAGTAATCTCTTATCGTCAGACTTATCTTATCTTCAGTAATCTCTAATGGTCAGACTTATCTTATCTTCAGTAATCTCTTATTGTCAGACTTATCTTATCTTCAGTAATCTCTTATGGTCAGACTTATCTTATCTTCAGTAATCTCTTATGGTCAGACTTATCTTATCTTCAGTAATCTCTTATGGTCAGACTTATCTTATCTTCAGTAATCTCTTATCGTCAGACTTATCTTATCTTCAGTAATCTCTTATCGTCAGACTTATCTTCAGTAATCTCTTATCGTCAGACTTATCTTCAGTAATCTCTTATCATCAGACTTATCTTATCTTCAGTAATCTCTTATCGTCAGACTTATCTTCGGTAATCTCTTATCGTCAGACTTATCTTCAGTAATCTCTTATCGTCAGACTTATCTTCAGTAATCTCTTATCGTCAGACTTATCTTCAGTAATCTCTTATCGTCAGACTTATCTTCAGTAATCTCTTATCGTCAGACTTATCTTCAGTAATCTCTTATCGTCAGACTTATCTTATCTTCAGTAATCTCTTATCGTCAGACTTATCTTCAGTAATCTCTTATCGTCAGACTTATCTTCAGTAATCTCTTATCGTCAGACTTATCTTCAGTAATCTCTTATCGTCAGACTTATCTTCAGTAATCTCTTATCGTCAGACTTATCTTCAGTAATCTCTTATCGCCAGACTTAACTTCAGTAATTTCTTATCGTCAGACTTATCTTCAGTAATCTTTTATCGTCAGACTTATCTTCAGTAATCTCTTATCCTCAGACTTATCTTCAGTAATCTCTTATCGTCAGACTTATCTTATCTTCAGTAATCTCTTATCTGCAAACAAATCTGTGTTTACTGGAGATATTGAAGCCTAGTGACTCAGTGAACCACATGCGGATCCAGCCGATGTAGAACCCAGCCGGGAGAACCCAGCCGATGTAGAACCTAGCCGATGTAGAACCCAGCCGGGAGAACCTAGCCGATGTAGAACCTAGCCGATGTAGAACTCAGCCGATGTAGAACCCAGCCGATGTAGAACCCAGCCGGGAGAACCCAGCCGATGTAGAACCCAGCCGATGTAGAACCCAGCCGATGTAGAACCCAGCCGATGTAGAACCCAGCCGATGTAGAACCCAGCCGATGTAGAACCAGTCGATGTAGAACCCAGCCGATGTAGAACCCAGCCTATGTAGAACCCAGCCTATGTAGAACCCAGCCGATGTAGAGCCCAGCTGATGTAGAACCCAGTCGATGTAGAACCCAGCCGATGTAGAACCCAGCCGGGAGAACCCAGCCTATTTAGAACCTAGCCTATGTAGAACCCAGCCTATGTAGAACTCAGCCGATGTAGAACCCAGCCGATGTAGAACCCAGCCGATATAGAACCCGGCCTATGTAGAACCCAGCTGATGTAGAACCCAGCCGACGTAGAACCCAGCCGATGTAGAACCCAGCCGATGAAGAACTCAGCCGATGTAGAACCCAGCTGATGTAGAACCCAGCCGATGTAGAACCCGGCCTATGTAGAACTCAGCCGATGTAGAACCCAGCCGATGTAGAACCCAGCCGATGAAGAACCCAGCCGATGTAGAAACCAGCCGGGAAAACTTAGCCGGGCCGACGGAACATGGAAGCTTAGGCATCTTTAGCCTTCCCCTCCCGCCCTGCCTCATAAATTAGTGCAAGTGGTAGGTGCTGCAACTAATCGTGTAGAGACTTTACATTTTAAAAGTATTTGCTTAAACGATTTATAGTATATTATTTTCCAATTATAATCCCATTCATTATCGTCACTCTATTATTATTATTATTATTATTATTATTATTATTATTATTATTATTATTATTATTATTATTAATATTATTATTAGTATTACTGAGCGCTTGAACAAGCACGTGGAGGCCGCTACTAGTCAGGAAGTTATGAAGGCGCCCGTATTGTCTTTGTTACAGTCGCCCTAAATCGCAGACAGTATGAGGTAGTTGTGGGACAGTATGAGGTAGTTGTGGGACAGACAGTATGAGGTAGTTGTGGGACAGACGGTATGAGGTAGTTGTAGGACAGACAGTATGAGGTAGTTGTGGGACAGACAGTATGAGGTAGTTGTGGGACAGACATTATGAGGTAGTTGTGGGACAGACAGTATGAGATAGTTGTTGGACAGACAGTATGAGGTAGTTGTGGGACAGACAGTATGAGGTGGTTGTTGGGCAGACAGTATGAGGTAGTTGTTGGACAGACAGTATGCGGTAGTTGTGGGACAGACAGTATGAGGTAGTTGTGGGACAGACAGTATGAGGTAGTTGTTGGACAGACAGTATGAGGTAGTTGTAGGACAGCCAGTATGAGGTAGTTGTGGGACAGCCAGTATGAGGTAGTTGTGGGACAGACAGTATTAGGTAGTTGTGGGACAGACAGTATGAGGTAGTTGTGGGACAGACAGTATGAGGTAGTTGTGGGACAGACAGTTTTAGGTAGTTGTGGGACAGACTGTATGAGGTAGTTGTTGGACAGACAGTATGAGGTATTTGTGGGACAACCAGTATGAGGTAGTTGTGGGACAGCCAGTATGAGGTAGTTGTGGGACAGACAGTATGAGGTAGCTGTGGGACAGCCAGTATGAGGTAGTTGTGGGACAGACAGTATGAGGTAGTTGTGGGACAGACAGTATGAGGTAGTTGTGGGACAGACAGTATTAGGTAGTTGTTGGACAGACAGTATGAGGTAGTTGTTGGACAGACAGTATGAGGTAGTTGTGGGACAGACAGTATGAGGTAGTTATGGGACAGCCAGTATGAGGTAGTTGTGGGACAGACAGTATTAGGTAGTTGTGGGACAGACAGTATGAGGTAGTTGTGGGACAGACAGTATGAGGTAGTTGTGGGACAGACAGTATGAGGTAGTTGTGGGACAGACAGTATGAGGTAGTTGTGGGACAGACAGTATGAGGTAGTTGTGGGACAGACAGTGAGGTAGGTAGTTGAGGTAGTTGTGGGACAGCCAGTATGAGGTAGTTGTGGGACAGACAGTATGAGGTAGTTGTGGGACAGCCAGTATGAGGTAGTTGTGGGACAGACAGTATGAGGTAGTTGTGGGACAGACAGTATTAGGTAGTTGTGGGACAGACAGTATGAGGTAGTTGTGGGACAGCCAGTATGAGGTAGTTGTGGGACAGCCAGTATGAGGAGGTGGGACAGCCAGTATGAGGTAGTTGTGGGACAGCCAGTATGAGGTAGTTGTGGGACAGACAGTATGAGGTAGTTGTGGACAGACAGTATGAGGTAGTTGTGGGACAGACTGTATGAGGTAGTTGTGGGACAGACAGTATGAGTATGGGACAGCCAGGTGAGTTGTGGGACAGACAGTATGAGGTAGTTGTGGGACAGCCAGTATGAGGTAGTTGTGGGACAGACAGTATGAGGTAGTTGTGGGACAGCCAGTATGAGGTAGTTGTGGGACACCAGTATGAGGTATGACAGCCAGTAGTTAGTTGTGGGACAGACAGTATGAGGTAGTTGTGGGACAGACAGTATGAGGTAGTTGTGGGACAGTATGAGGTAGTTGTGGGACAGACAGTATGAGTTGTGACAGGTGAGTAGTTGGGACAGACAGTATGAGGTAGTTGTGGGACACAGTATGAGGTAGTTGTGGGACAGAGTGTATGAGGTGGGACAGACAGTATGAGGTAGTTGTTGGACAGACAGTATGAGGTAGTTGTGGGACAGACAGTATGAGGTAGTTGTGGGACAGCCAGTGTGAGGTAGTTGTGGGACAGCCAGTATGAGGTAGTTGTGGGACAACCAGTATGAGGTAGTTGTGGGACAGCCAGTATGAGGTAGTTGTGGGACAGACAGTATGAGGTAGTTGTGGGACAGACAGTATTGTGGGGTAGTTGTTGGACAGACTGTATGAGGAGTTGTTGGACAGACTGTATGAGGTGTTGGGACAGCCAGTGTGACAGCCAGTGTGAGGTAGTTGTGGGACAGCCTGTATGAGGTAGTTGTGGGACAACCAGTATGAGGTAGTTGTGGGACAGCCAGTATGAGGTAGTTGTGGGACAGCCAGTATGAGGTAGTTGTGGGACAGACAGTATGAGGTAGTTGTGGGACAGACAGTATTAGGTAGTTGTTGGACAGACTGTATGAGGTAGTTGTGGGACAGACAGTATGAGGTAGTTGTGGGACAGCCAGTATGAGGTAGTTGTGGGACAGACAGTATGAGGTAGTTGTGGGACAGCCAGTATGACGTAGTTGTGGGACAGCCAGTGTGAGGTAGTTGTGGGACAGCCAGGTAGTTGTGGAGCCAGTAGTTGTGGGACAACCAGTATGAGGTAGTTGTGGGACAGCCAGTATGAGGTAGTTGTGGGACAGACAGTATGAGGTAGTTGTGGGACAGACAGTATGAGGTAGTTGTGGGACAGACAGTATTAGGTAGTTGTTGGACAGACTGTATGAGGAGGTAGTTGTGGGACAGACAGTATGAGGTAGTTGTGGGACAGCCAGTATGAGGTAGTTGTTAGACAGACAGTATGAGGTAGTTGTGGGACAGCCAGTATGAGGTAGTTGTGGGACAGCCAGTATGAGGTAGTTGTGGGACAGACAGTATTAGGTAGTTGTGGGACAGACAGTATGAGGTAGTTGTGGGACAGACAGTATGAGGTAGTTGTGGGACAGACTGTATGAGGTAGTTGTGGGACAGACAGTATGAGGTAGTTGTGGGACAGCCAGTATGAGGTAGTTGTGGGACAGACAGTATGAGGTAGTTGTGGGACAGACAGTATGAGGTAGTTGTGGGACAGCCAGTGTGAGGTAGTTGTTGGACAGCCAGTATGAGGTAGTTGTGGGACAACCAGTAGTAGTCAGTGGCTTCAAATAGCCCTCTTTGGTGTTCAGTATTCGTGTCACGTCTATCTGTTGTGTCTGTGACCTGTATGTCTCTCTGTTATGTTTGTATCTTTCTTTCATCTGTGATTAGTTTTGTTATGTAAGATACCCCGTGTATATTTGATATTTGGGTTATGTTTATCTCTTTATTATGGTTGGTATCCCTCTATTATTTTTAATACAAGTTGTCCATCAATGTTTATCTTTAGCAACAATGAAGCCGGTCACAACTTTACTGATACAGACAGACTTCCAGAGACAGAAAAACTTCCAGGCACAAACAGATTTCACCAAGCACTGTATATTGCAGACAAGGGAGACAACCGTCGACACGATGACCCGGGTAAAGGTCGTCCTATGTTGCCCAGTGCACAGAAGTCTCTGCGAGACACCGCCTCCGTCCTCTCATCGTCTCATCCTTTAGTGGGTGCCGCATCTACCACACCTCCAGCAGCATCAAAAATCATCTCAGTGACATCTGCATTTCACAGACAGAAGTACCTCATCTACCTCTGTGACAGGGATGTCTATTGTTACGGTCTAGGAGATCGACAGAGAGGTTTGGTGGCCGTCTACTTGCTGGCTCTGGTCACCGGCAGACAGTTCGGCATCAACATGTCGCATCCTTGGCCACTAGAGGACTTCTACAAGCCCAGCCAGGTTCAGTGGAGCATCCCTGAGAGCCGGGTGCGGGGCAGATCTACCACAACCATCAAAGTCAGTCATTGCTTGTTGTTTCATGAATAGTTCCTTCCTTTTGTTCTTCTTCCCTCTCGCTCTATCTCTCCCCCTTCCTTGATTCTCCTTCGCCGCCTCTTCATCCTACCCTACTACTACTACTACTACTACTACTACTACTACTACTACTACTACTACTACTACTACTACTACTACTACTACTACTACTACTACTACTACTGCTACTACTACTACTACTACTACTACTACTACTACTACCACCACTACTACTACTACTACTACTACTACTACTACTACTACTACTACTACTACTACTACTACTACTACTACTACTACTACTACTACTACTACTACTACTACTACTACTACTACTACCCTACTACTATTACTACTACTGCTGCTGCTGATGCTGCTGCTGCTGCTACTACTACTGCTGTTACTACTAGTACCACCCCTCCTAATTTTATTCCTTCTCCTCCTCCTGCCTCTGAAACCGCCTCTTTTCTTTACTTTAGATATGAATCTGAGTATATTTTGTTTAGGGAAAGCAAGAATCGTTCGTTCGTTCGTTCTTCTTCTTCCCATCATCATCCTCCTCCTTTACCTTCTATCCAACAGTGGAGCATAGGCTCTCACCCAGCTCAGGCCAAGTCGTTCTAACCTTGGCTATTGCATCCAGCTTACATCGTGTCCTCCCTATCTTTTGAACTTTCCTCTCTAGATTCATTCTCTGTGTTTTTTTCTATTCCCCTATGGGTTCCAGTACAAAGACATTCTAGTTATATAGTTCTCATGTTTTCCTCACGTGTCCTATTTACCACCAGCGTCTTTTCATCTCTTGGTCCACTGGAACTTGTTTAGTTGTCTCCCCGAGTTCCGCATTAAATGATTCTATCAAACCATGTGATTCCCTCCATTCTGCCCAGGCACCAGTAATTCAATGTTTGTAGTTTTTAAAAAACTGTTTTAGTAACTCTCCATGGTTAGGCAAACTACAACAGTATCCATTTGATATAGGAATACAAAATGTCCAGTTTATTATTAAATTTAATGTTATTTTACCTCTACAAATTTCCTAGTGCTATCAAAGCTCATGTTGTTGCCTTTGTGCATTGGTATTTCAATATCTCTGTCAGTTCTCCCATCTTTATCTACATTACTGCCCAAATAGATCTACGACTCCACGTCTTGGAGTGTGATACCATTAAGAGAAACCACATTACTATTTGCCTGATTTTTCTCATTATCTTTTATGAAATTTAAGACCTAGCTGTGGTGATCTTGTATCAAGTATATTTAATTTATCTTACATCTGATTCAGTGAATGGGACAGAAGAGAAATATAATCAGCGAAGACCATTTCATCAAGCTGTTTTGTAGGGGTCCACGGACTTCCATTCTTGTGGTTAGCAGCAATCATAATCAGAATGCAATCTATTGCCTATAAATATAGTAGAGGTGACAAGAGACATGCACGCCGCACTTCTGTTCTTATTTCAAATGTATCTGTTAGCGATTTTTTCCTGAAGAATTCGACATTTCATGTTTTTTTTCTGTTGCCTTAATAAATTAGGAATTGTCTGTAGGATTCTATAGTGCCCCAATAAGTCCATATCAGTGATGTCAAATGCTGTCCCATAGTCCATGAATCCAATATAAAGTGGTCAGTGCAATTCAATGCTGGACTCTGTTATTATACGTTATGTGGCTGACCGACATTATAGGATCTGTTTGGCGGAAAACCTGCCTGTTCATCTCTTAGCTTTTTATCAATAGCATCAAGTCTGTCTAAAGTAATCCCTGCTTAAAACTTGTCAGCAACTGGCAGCAACATCATTCCTCTATAGTGTGCACACTCCTGATTCCTCTATAGTGTGCACACTCCTGATTCCTCTATAGTGTGCACACTCCTGATTCCTCTATAGTCTGCACACTCCTGATTCCTCTATAGTGTGCACACTCCTGATTCCTCTATAGTCTGCACACTCTGATTCCTCTATAGTGTGCACACTCCCGATTCCTCTATAGTGTGCACACTCCTGATTCCTCTATAGTGTGCACACTCCTGATTCCTCTATAGTGTGCACACTCCTGATTGCTCTATAGTCTGCACACTCCTGATTCCTCTATAGTCTGCACACTCCTAATTCCTATATAGTCTGCACACTCCTGATTCCTCTATAGTCTGGCACACTCCCGATTCCTCTATAGTGTGCACACTCCCGATTCCTCTATAGTCTGCACACTCCTGATTCCTCTATAGTGTGCACACTCCTGATTCCTCTATAGTCTGCACACTCCTGATTGCTCTATAGTCTGCACACTCCTGATTCCTCTATAGTCTGCACACTCCTGATTCATCTCTAGTGTGCACACTCCTGATTCCTCTATAGTCTGCACACTCCTGATTGCTCTATAGTGTGCACACTCCTGATTCCTCTATAGTCTGCACACTCCTGATTCCTCTATAGTGTGCACACTCCTGATTTCTCTATAGTCTGCACACTCCTGATTGCTCTATAGTCTGCACACTCCTGATTGCTCTATAGTGTGCACACTCCTGATTCCTCTATAGTCTGCACACTCCTTCCTCTATAGTCTGCACACTCCTGATTGCTTTATAGTGTGCACACTCCTGATTCCTCTATAGTGTGCACACTCCTGATTCCTCTATAGTGTGCACACTCCTGTACTTCTTCTTTTTTTGGGGGTGGGGGGAGGGGGGGGGGTGGGCAGTTTCACCAGATATCCTTCTCTCCAGTCTGCTGGTATTTCTTCGGTCTCCCAGACTTTACTGAATAATCTATGTAGCAATTCCGTTGATGTGTTTATACTGGCCTTAATAATTTCTGCGGAGATACCCTCTGGACCAGTACCTTTCCTTCCTTCAGAAGATTGATCGCTTTCCTGATTTCCTGTTTGCTTGTTGTTGTAAGCTTGTTGTTGTAAGCTTGTTGATATCTTCTTAATGTCTCCCGACAAGGCTACAGTAGTTTTCTCTGCCCTATACTTGTTGGGCTCTTTGCAGCAAATATTGTAATTATAGTTTTGCAATATTCCATGTTATTATGTGATGCAGTATTGCCAGACTGTTTGTATGTATGTGTGTAAGTCGTACGCCACCAGGACATCACACAAGCGATAAACACCCGGTGACACAAAGTGCCACTATGCGGATGAGCATCGCCCGTGGAGAGGTCCCGGACACCCTGTCTAGCCGTTAGGCCATATTTCAGGCTCAGCTGTATTTAGGGCCCCCGGCAAATGCCAGGCTAGGGCTTCAAAATAACTAAAATTGCATCCCACAAGGAGATGACGCGAATCAACTGCCTGACTGTTTTCATGTAGTGCAACTTTCTATGTATGAATGTTCTCATGAAGTGCAGCTTTCTATGTCTGACTGTTTTCATGTAGTGCAGCTTTCTATGTATGAATGTTTTCATGTAGTGCAGCTTTCTATGTATGAATGTTCTGCGGTATTCCACATATTCAATTACGTTATTTCCAGACTGAATTCTTGTTTCCGTCAGAACGATAGACTTGGGAGTTAAGATCGACATTGCAAAAAACGAGACGCACACCAGAGGAACTTTTTAATCAACATAGAACTGGTACTATTAGCCACCCGATGATGCTGGGGTTCATACCGAGGGGAGGATCTGAGGCTGGTACTATTAACCGCAAGACGCTGATGAAGAGGGAATGAGAGGGAAATCTGAGCGCCTATGGATGTGTCCGGAGTGCAATGATGAAAACTCAAAAAGCTAACTAACTAACTAACTAGCTAACTAACTAACTAACTAACTAACTAACTAACTAACTAACTAACTAACTAACTAACTAACTAACTAACTAACTAACTAACTAACTAACTAACCAGCCAGCCAGCCAGCCAACCAACCAACCAACCAACTAACTAACTAACTAACTAACTAACTAACTAACTAACTAACTAACTAACTAACTAACTAACTAACTAACTAACTAACTAACTAACTAACTAACTAACTAACTAACTAACTAACTAACTAACTAACTAACTAACTAACTAACTAACTAACCAACTAACTAACTAACTAACTAACCAACCAACCAACCAACCAACCAACCAACCAACCAACCAACCAACCAACCAACCAACCAACCAACCAACCAACCAACCAACCAACCAACCAACCAACCAACCAACCAACCAACCAACTAACCAACTAACCAACTAACCAACTAACCAACTAACCAACTAACCAACTAACCAACTAAACTAACTAACTAACTAACTAACTAACTAACTAACTAACTAACTAACTAACTAACTAACTAACTAACTAACTAACTAACTAACTAACTAACTAACTAACTAACTAACTAACTAACTAACCAACTAACTAACTAACTAACTAACTAACTAACTAACTAACTAACTAACTAACTAAACTATTTATCTAATTAACTAACTAACTAACCAACTAACTAACTAACTAAACTATCTATCTAATTACTAACTAATTAACAAACAAACAAACTAACTAACTAATTCATATGTTGCGGTATTCCAGACTGTATTAATATATATGTTGCAGTATTTCAAGAACCAAGAAGGGGAACTGAAAACCATCGACTTCAACAGCGTCTACCCGCAGGAAGTTGTCTACGTGAGGACAAACCTTGAGCTCTGGAGAATGTTGAAGGAAAACCAATTATACAAGGGAAACTTCCCTGCCTGGGCCAGGGGCAGGAGACACAGTATCTTCTCTAACGCTTGGGTACAGCTGGCCACTCCCACACACGAGCTCCGGTCTCAGCTCAACGAGCTGCTTGTAGGCGTGGCCCTGTCTGTGCTCAACACATCAAGCAGTGACACCAACACTTATAGCACTGGCGCAGCAAATAGAACCTTAGCTCTGTCTGCGCTCAACACATCGAGCAGTGACACCAACACTTACAGCACTGGCGCAGCAAATAGAACCTTAGCTCTGTCTGCGCTCAACACATCGAGCAGTGACACCAACACTTACAGC